CGAGGGATGGCGGTGGGTGGTGATAACTAGTTGCCTTTCCTTTAGTCTTTCACTGCTAAATTAGAGACGGCTAACGCAGTTAGCCCTTGAGTAGCTTTGCGCAAAATTCAAAACAAACAACACCCTTTATATCCGCTAATAGAAACCCAAATGGATTCAATCTCCTTGCTATTATCTTTGATATCCTCAACTTCAACTAGATGTAACACATTTTACACATATAGTCACTTCTCACCCTCTCTATAGTACTCTATCCCTATTAAGTAACCTATAACCCTGTATTTTAAATTTCTGTCATCAAAATTGTCTACATCTTAAAATGTTTCAGTTATTCCTGTTATATCAAAATAATATAACCCATTACAAAACGATATGCCAGCCTTACCAAAAAAGTATTTTTTATCTTAGAGTTAAACTTAAAACAAAAGGGAGAAGTAAAACAGAAGGCTGTAAAATCTATTCGGTCACGGAGGGTAACTCCAAACTTTCTAAAATTCAACAGCCTAAGTTTATGAAAACAGCTAGATTAAGTTTTTTAAATTCATAAACATATTTTTAAAAACTGGGAAATGTGACGCTGTAAAACATATATAAATCAAGTAAACTGTTTTGTAAGTTGCTAATCCTTTATAAAGATATCATCAAGCTTAGGGATATACGTACCCTTGTAAGCTTCCGAAGGAAAAACTCATTTGTTATTAGTTTCATCACCGTCAGTCCTATTTGCCGAGAATTCAAACATATTTTTATACCGTCCTTTTGAAATTCCTAACAATTCTAAACACCTAACGTACAATATTTCAGTTCTACGTGCTGTGAAATATATTGTCTGCAAGTACGTCAGATTCCTTTTTACGGCAAAGCCAAAATCGTTTTCATACAACAAATGTTTTAAGTCATTACTTCATTCTCCGAACGCTAAACAGTTTATTCTGATTTAATTACACTTCCACAATTTCTCAGTGAGGAAAATAATCATTTACAACCAAACATTACTTTCTGTTAATAAGTTAACTGCTGCCAACTTTTGAACATTTCCGCTTCATCAGGTTTTAGAATCATATTCTTTTCGTATAGGGCTATAATAAATGTTGCAGGTGAATATAAATACAAGTATATATATGCGAAAGCTATGCGCCACTTAAGATATAAAAAAGTATTCCTGTGTTCAATAACACAGATATGTCATTTAATTGTCCTTTTCTGCACCTTTTTTGAGGTAAACTGAGCTATTCTATTACGACAGCCTGAAACAGGATAACCAGAAATCTTATCATTCTATGATTGGCGAGAAACAAAGACAAGAGACCGGTTATATTATTCTATGCATATCTTCAGAAATTTTCAACATTTTTGTGAATAAGGCTCAGTGTAATAAATGTCACTATATATATATATATATCTGTGTATATGTATGTAAGGAAAAAAAAAAAGAGAGCTCGTTGGTTTTCTCGCCAACCGATATATTTAATTCAAAGGATACAAAAGACACTTATTTTAATTGAACCTTTGTTTATCAAAACGATTATATTACGTACCCTGTAACACTTAACGTCTCGTTGCATGCAGCGTACCATTGTATTATTAAAACGATTTAGTCTCTTATAAGAAGTATAACTCAACTGCTATTATTGGATGCATAGAATATTAAGCACTTCTTGTCTCCTTTACTTTAAAAGTGAAGGTTTAATGTTTTTCTATAGTTTTCATAATTTTCCACACGTAACGCGTTTCTAGCCATATGTGTAGTTTTAACAGTATGTCTTCTTTTGCTCTAACTACTTATTGTTCTGGGTTATTTTCTACTGTGTCACATATGCTTTTTTTTATGGGAAAGCTCACAATATAATATTATGTAAAGAGGGACTATGATATTTTCCACTGGCAGGTCGTATGATACTTTATTTTGCTACTGTAATGACCAACAATGACACGAGTTAAGTACGCGCACTGAGAGGGTTGTTGTTTAAAATTTTGAATATTATGCTTTGCCTTTATATTTGGAATAGTTTTTCAAAAGCAAGTCTTATTTCCGAAACATAAGCGCTGTAACCTCGTAAAGTGGACTCGTTTGTCTTTGTTTATTTTTATTAATGACCATTATTTTCCACTTTGTTTTTACATTGTGCTTGTTCATATTCTTCAAGTTCAGCTATGGTAAAAGTATTCAGATTCAACTCCGTTATACACATCCTGGCATTCCTCAAGCTATTGCGACACTGCTCTTACCTGTAAGGTATCGTATTTTTCGGTGTATAAGACGCTCTTTTTTTACCCCAAAATTTGATGTCA